CTTTTTTTATGTCTTTTCTAATAATGAATAACCTCTCAAATCCTTAAATCGATGAAAAACAATAAAAATCGATTTATCTCAATGTTTATACCTTTGAAACAAAAGAAAAGCAGGTTATATGATTTTAATTTAAAAGTGCAAATAACACCAAATATTGAACACAATAATGTAATGTTTGTTTGTCAAAATATTCAAAAATATTTAGATAAAACTATACTTTTTACCTTCGTCTAGTTAGTCGACTAATCTTCGTCGCTATCTTCGTCAATAACGGTAATAATATTGTCTTTATTAAATAATAAGTTTAATATTGCAGTTGGTCTAAAGATTTTAGACAAATATCGTCCATGTGATAAATAGAAAATTATTGCAGCAACGTGTGAACAACAACCGATAGTCCTAATCCATTTGCACATTCACAACATTATCTTGCTATTCCACTCCACCCAGTCGTATTTCGTTTATGTTAAATAAAACATCTGTAAACTTTTCAACCGATATGACGAGATTGTACTTGAGCTTTCAATATATTGGTTTTATCTCTAACAAACTGAACAGTTGTATTATCTGATTCATCTCTTATTTCTGCTAAATATAATATTGCTTGCTTATATTGATAAGAACCAGTAAATAATAGTTTTAAGTCTTATTCGGTCATTTCTGGGATATCCATCAAATCAGAAGATGCGATTGTCTGAAATTGAAGTTTGTTTTCGCTTCCAACTATATTTATCTAATTGATCGGCTAGTGTATTGTCAGTATTATTCCGAGATTTCATCATTTCTACAATTTCATCTGGATACTTTAAATCAGAAGTAAGACGTTTGTTGTATTTATTGTGAAGAAATGATGCAATTCTGTAAAAACTACCGATTTTGGGAAGCCTTTTATTGTCGAACATTTGGTCAAGTAGACCATTTCTTTCATTATAGTAGCATCATTTAGGTTGGCGTGATATGGCCCTAACATATCAACTATATATCCATTTGTTGTACAAATAGTGAATGGTTTACATAATGGTACTTTTTTTGTACAGAAATTGATATAAGTACGTTATTACAGCTCTTCTGATGGAGAGCATATGTTCCGTCACAAATCAAAACAAGCTCATCATTAAGATCATCGTACAAACTTTTTATTAATGGTGGTGAATGATGCTGAATGAGATTATTTCTGGACATAGATCGAAAACCGAAGTAACGAGATAATACATCTTTTTCAAATGATTGCATCACCTATTCACAATATTTTAAAACTAACTGCTCATTTTCTAATTGTAAAGTCGCTGATATCAATTTATTTGAATTGTCGGTACGGAGTTTAAATATAAATAATATAAGAGCTTGAATTACAGTACGAGTATCTGTATTTCTCATGGTTGTTAATAAATCTCGCAACTCAATTAAGTTTTCTCTTCTTAAGCCAGTGAATATATAAAGTTGTTCATCAGGAATACGACAATCATCCATCTTATCGAGCAGTGTAGAGTCACACTCAACAGCAAAGCTTTCCATAATTTTAGTTAACTGTGATGATCTCAAAATGCTCCAATTACAATAAACTTTTACTAAGTAGAGATCTTATTCATAAAAGCGCTTATTTATCAAATGATCTTTACAGCATCCATTTCCATTGGGAATGAAAATCCGTCGCTTAATTATGGATTGCATACGAGCATCTTGAGGAATAACTACTAGATTTTTATTAGGAACCAAACATACACAAACAATATCTATGAGCTACTATATAACAGTTCTTTTGATTTGAACTTCAATACACTCTTCAGTAACATCGCATACAACATTCAGATTAAACGAGGTTGACTGAGACAAAGATATCAATGATAAGTTCGATTCAGTTTTTTTTTTAAAAACATATCTCGAGGTGATTCATCTCCTAAAGGCCTTTTTTGCTCATCATCAACTTTTATTTTCTTATATTTCAATACACGGCAATTTGGGCAAACAACATCACCAACATCAAAGACAGTAGAAAATTCTTCAGCATCTTCCTGTGATTTTATTTTTACAAGCTTTTATTTAACTTGCAATGTGCGTATGTAAGTTGTTTGCGTTAAATGTTTCAAGCCATTTTTCGAACACTTCTAGTTATCCGATTGAGTTGAAATTTGGCATACTTATGTAGGTCCCGTGACAATGCAATATTATGATATTATCAGGATTTGAAACTCGATAGAACAAAAATGCGACAATAAAAATAGATAAACGTATACACCTATAGTGTTTCCTATTATCTTTGTCTCCTCTTTGTGTGGTGTTTCGTAGCCTCCCCACTCTTGTCTACCAAGCGTGGCACATGTATGTGTTTATGAGTGTAGTTTCTGTATTGCACCGCTTACTTTTACGTGTTTTAATACGTGTGTACAAATAATGTCAATAATATAAATTGTCTAAATTAAGTTGATGGTGTAAATAATGTAAAAAGTGTAATGAAGTTAATGGTCTAAAAAATAAAAATGCTACATGCTAGATTTTGGAAATAAATGATTTTATTAATAATAAACCTTTGAAACTAAAAAGTATAAAATAAAAAAATAAAAATAAAAAAACATTTTTAAAAACAAGGTTATATTTAAAAAAACGTAAAAAGGAAAAAATAAAATTAAGTGACATGTCTTATACAGGGTGTCCCAGTTATAATAATTAAAAAAAAACATGGCTTCCTGACACAAAATACAACAAAAAAGTGTTATACAATTTTTCAATCCAGTGACAATTGGTAGTATTTTGTAAAACGCACTGTTAAGACAGCAGGTAAAAGTT